CCCTTGTTCTTCTTATAGCTTTTTATAAATGTATCACAAACTTTCAGTTTTCACTCTTTATGACATTTAAAAAATAACATTGTGTTTCAGTCAGCATATTTCACTGCCTTGTCTTCCATGTTTCAGGTATTCAGTAGGGACAGTGGGTAGTGGCTCAAGTGTTGTACAGTGCAGCCCAAAACCCATTGTCTGCAGGTAAGGAGAGTTTCTGTTTCATAGTTGGTGGTATTCTTGCCACCTACTCTCTCTTACCTTTTTACAAGGTGTCTATCTTGTGTGCTTCCTACTGTACAGGGTACCCTGAGAGGTCTTAAAAATAAAGCCTGCGAGGAATTGGAAGAGGCTGTGTGCATGCTGGAGCCATAGTAGGCCCCAAGTAAATGTGTCAACAACTGTCTTGCTCTCAATTCTAGTGACACTCTCTGTGTCTCATACTTGACAGTGTACCTGAGAGTTTTTTCCTGGCTTCACAGAAACTGACACACTACTGTTTTGAACATTACTTTGTCCCGGTGTCTATATCTTTTCCCATGTCATAAATTAACTACTGAGATGAAAATAATGACTTTCCTAGCCTCTGGATAAAAAAGCTACAGATCAGCTTTGCCTGCCCGTGGTTATTTAGCCCTGGCTTCACCACTGACACTTCCTCCACCATCTCCCTAGTCTTAGTGTCTCTGAGAGATTGAGACAACTCCAGTAGGATTCTGGAATCACCTTGGTGCAGGCAGCTTCTGTGCCTGGTAGAGGTGCTCTGGCTACTGCTTCTTAGACCACCTTTTCGGGAACTCCCTGTTCTCACAAGCAGCTCATTCTCTGAATTTCTCTATTTGTGGGGTGCTGAGCACTGACATAGTAGCAGTGTGTGTATGTGGGGGTGGTTGACAGGAAGAGTCCCTGCTCTTCAGTGCTCACACCTGATGGGTGGGGAAAGCTCTTCTACAGGCCAAGAATGTAGCTCTGCTGAACTTGGCCTCCACCTCATGTAACACTTATGTCCCTTATTTCCCAACACTAATGGACCTGGGAGCAGCCTTGGGATAGGGATGGATGTAGAGCCAGGCCACATGCCACAAAAGAAAAAAAAAAAACAGGTTCAAGTCACTGGTAAGACTTGAAGACAGGGCTAGTGTGAGCCATTTCTGCCTTCAGGGTGTGGACTTGTAGATGTATTTGGGGCCTCAGGTCCAGGGCAGTACGGTGCCTGAAGGATAGCTGAAAAGGGGGCACAGGTAGGACAGGCCCCTTCCTGGATCATAGACAAGGAGGCTACTGGAAAGAGGCCTTTCTTCACCTGGAACTTGAGGCCTGGAGGCTGCTCAGTCCCAGCCTGCAGAGGAACTCCAGACTGATATCTTTAGAAGAAGGTCCTGTGCCGCCTCTGAGGAAGGGGATTTGACTGAGCATCTGGGAAGAAGTGAGAGTGGTGAGAAATGGTCTTGTGCCAGGGCAGGGGGACCATATAGTGTGTGCACATTAACACACAAGAGTCCGAGGTGGTCAGAGAACTATGTGGGCAGTGTGGTAAAGAATGTATGGATTGGAGCAGGGCTACAGGCCCTGCACTCTGTTGGTAGCTAGCTCTGGGTCTCGTGGAAGTCAGCAGCTCTCTGTCCCTAATGTTTCAAGGTTACTTTGCCTCTTTGAGACACAAATGTGTCTCCCACTGAAGAGCCATAATTTGCTGGGGATACAGAACAAAGGAGTCCAGCTTCTATAAAGTACTTCTGTAGTGGACACTCATCCCCCGGAGACCATCTTCCACCTTTCTGCCTTCCCATAGAGCAAGAGTGGGTGTTCTTTCTCCCCGGCATTTCCTGTCTCCACCTTCTGCTGTCCCTTCTTTTTTTTGTGTGTGTATGCATACAGAGGCCACAGGTCAGCCTCAGGGACTGTCCACCTTTTATTTGTTTGTTTGATTGAAATTTTTTTCTTTTCTTTTCTTTTTTTCTTTTCTTTTTCTTTTTCTTTTCTTTTTTTCTTTCTTTTTTTTTTTTTTTTTGACACAGGACCGCTTACTGGAACCTGGGACTCACTTATTAGGGTAGCTGGCTAGTTAGGGAGCCCCAGGAATCTACCTGCCTTTGCTTCCTGCGTGTGCACCATGCCTGATATTTCATTTAGGGGATTTGATCCTGGTCCTTAATGCTGGTATGGTAAACACTTTACTGACTGAGTCGTCCATGCAGCCTCACGTTACCCCTTTGTTCCTAGGATCTCCTACCTGGGGTCATCTTTGTTGACCTTGTGGCTTAAGCAGGATTATTGTCTCCGTAGCTTCAGTGTGTGTCACTGTGTGTATGTACGTATTAGTCATATTTCAGTCTCTGACAAAACACCTGAGGAAAACAGCTCAGAGGAAAGGCCTTATTTTGCCTCATAGTTTCAGAGGCTTCCCTTCATAGAGTCAGCTGGATCCATTGCTTCTGGACTTGTGGTAAGACAGGCAGAAAGCAGAGAGAACAGCAAGAAAGGTCCAGGATTATCTATACCCTTCAAGAGCACACCCCCTTTGACCTACTTTTAATCAGGCCCTGCCTCCTAATGAACAGCTCATTCAGCTGTGAACTCAACAGTGGATTAACCCATTGATGAAATCAGTCACCTTTCAGTATTGCCACCAGCGGAAGACCAAGCCTTGGCACAGGAGCCTTTTGGGGGACTTCTGACAGTATTGTTAGCCATACTTTCTTGTTCCCCCTGCCCTTGCCTCCTTGCAAACACACACAGTGGTCACGCTACCTGCCAGCAAACGTGCTGAACAATCTACTGCTTGCTAGATAGACCCAGGGAGTAAAGAGGTGACTTCTCTGCCTCCTGTTAAGGATGAAAAGCAGAGGAAAGGGAATAGAGCCTATGTTGAAGGTACAGCCTGAAGTGGTGGGTGCTGTGGAAACAGTGCTAGGAGCCTTGAACAAGTGTGAGTGAGGGTCTATTGCTGAGTGGAGACAGGTGTTTTAAAGTCTCAAAAGACTACACTTGAATACAGCTCCTCCCTTGTTCTCCATCTCCTAGGCAGCATAGGCAGATGACAACTCATGAGGTCACATAGCCTTGGAAAGGGGCCGCTGAATACTAGGCAAGAGTGGCACCATGGGCATGGGTTCTAAAAGGAGTCTGGAAGATGCTGCCAGACCCTGGGCAGGAAGATTGCACTGGGCAAGAGAGTTCTGGCTTGTGTCTACCTGTTCTTGTATGCTCTCTGTGTCTGACTGGGCACTGGCTTTGGTCATGTAATTTTTGGTCACCTAGTTCTGAAAGGCACTTTTGTGTGTTCAGAGCACTGTGTGCGGTGCCATTTTATATGTAGTAATGTGACTGAGGGTTTTCAAGGTATTAACTATAAAAAAATTTCAAGATACTTTCCATAAAGCTGTTAAGTTTTGGTTTGTTTGTAAGCTTAAAATCCTAGGCTGACACTAACCAAGCAGCTTTTCATTTGTATGCTCTTTAGTTTTGCCTTCACTTTCATTGTGCAGCCTCAGACAGTGTGGTTTCAGCTGCTCCTTTTCATCGTCATCTGCCTATTGTTGAAGTGAATAGCACAGTTTGCGCTCAGTCTCAGAAGGCACTAATGCGAGAACCAGGTGCCCAGATCCTTTCACATATCCTATTCTTGATTGTTCTGTGAGGTCTCAGATTCCCTCCCTGGACCTGCAGCACTGTCCTTCCTTACTGCCACCACTAGCACGTGACCTTGCCTTCCTTGTGTCTTGTTTCACCACCTGTGCGAGCTTCCTTCCCCTGAGAGGGCAGCTGTTCTTCAGCCAGATATAAATAACCCTTCCAGTAACTCAGGTTCTGGGTGTCCCGTGTTCTTAGCATCTGTGGGTGCCTGAGGCTTTACTTGGTTAAAATTGCAAAAGTCTTTCTTAGATAAAGAATGGGTTGGAGCTCTAGAGTGCCTAAAGTTCCTTTATTTTATTTATTTATTTTTACAAATATAAATAGGAATTGTACTGGACTGTGAAACAACCATTTCAGAAACCACAACAGAAACATAGGAAGAAAACAATGAAACCAGTTCATTCTCATAGTTCCTCCTTTCCCCCATCTCTCACTTCTCCCTCCCTTCTCCCTCCTCCCTCTGTTTTGACAGGGTCTTGCTATAATGCAGCCCAGGCTGGCCTTGGAATCACATCAAAGCCTAGGCTGGTCTTGAATTTGTAGCGATTCTCCTGTTTCAGCATCCAGAATTCAGGGATTTTATATATATACACTGTACCTTATCTGGTCACTTGTTTCTTTTTGAAGTTTTTGTCATATTCATATATATATACATTCATATATATACATATATATGTATATATATATATTCTGGAAAGTTGCAGGGATGTCTGCTTTGTGGGAGCCCTGGAGGCCATTGTGTTAATGGCTGCACCTGTATAATGCATCCGACAACCAGGTTGATTTATACTGCCAGTTAGGATTTGTAGTTTTGGGAGCTTTTGTTTACATGCGGTTGAGAGAGAAGACCTTGTGACCATCTAAGGAATGATTTTCTCCACTCGTTAGAGGCTGTATAGATAATTAAACTAGAGGTTAGCTACTGAAACAACTCTGGTCTGAAAGACTGACTGCCCTTGAAATGTCTTTCTGTAAAGGATCTTGTGGATCACAAATGGGGTCTCTCTGTCACTCATAGAACAGACTCAGACTCAGGTTACTCTCTGGTCTAGACTCACAGCTTTTAAATGGCCGTGTCAGGTATTCAGTTCATTTTGACCAGCTTCTGCTGATATACTTTATCGCTGAACATAGTTTCTTATTCTGAATTTAGGAATTTGCACACATAATAGTTGACCAACAGCAAGCTTGTGTCTGAGATTGGTGTCTGTGTATTCTGTGTGTGTGCAGGCCCAGTTTGAGGTGTTACCATGTGCTTGCAGCCTGTAGTCTCTCTCAAAACAGTTTGATTTGTTCATGTCAGCCTGCCTTGGCCGTCGGAGTGTCTCTATAACACCCAGAAATGGCCTAGCCCTTTTCTTTTCTTTCTATAGGAATTTGCTTGCTAGAAAACAAAATGCAAGACTTGATAGACAGAGAGACTTGGGATGGAAGCTGTTTGGAAAAGTCCCACTTCGAGAGACTGCTCAGAAAGATTCAAAGAAAACACAAAAGGTAAGCCCCTGGTGTGTGAAGGTGTATTTATGAACCACACACGTGATCCTTGCTGAGGCTTGACATTGGAAAGCTCTCTGTGTTTGTTATGTGCCTGGGTTCTTAAATTGCATTCAGTGAGTACAGAGATTTAACTCATTTAACTCTTTTCACCTCTTTACAGCTTGTAACATGCACTTAGGGAAGTCAGCTGGGCTTTATATATTTAAACTTGGTGAATTTTAATCAGTCTTTCCAGTAATGGTTGCAAATGTGTTTATAGTCAAACTTTTATTGTATTTGATACTCAAATCTCAACACATTTCTTGGATTTTTCAGGTGTGGAGGGTTTTCAAGACAGTGTTTCTCTGTGTAACAGCCCTGGCAGTCCTGAAACTAGCTCTTGTAGACTAGGCTGGTCTCGAACTCACAGAGATCCACCTGTCTCTGCCTCCCAAGTGCTGGGATTAAAGGTCTGCACCACCACCACCTGGCCATTTCTTGAATCTTAAATCCTTCATTTTACTCTGGGATATGTGGACTAGGCTATCATGCTCCCAGGCTTTGAGAGGATCTTGCCTCTTTCTTACTTAGATGTTGTCTGTTTTGGGGGTTGGGATTCAAGGCTAGTCCAGGTCAGGCCTGCACCAACATCCCACTGACTTCCTTACTCCTTGAGTCTGCAACTGGATCACCTGCTTATCTTCTCAAGAAGGAGCCCATGCCAAATGGTGGCAGCCTTTAGGCAGCCCAAACTGTTTGTTAGCACCAGCAACTTCTTTGAAGCTCTGAACCTGTTTACCTTGAAAGTCAGCTGTTGCCCAAGTACTATGGCCTTGAAACCTGTTGTCTTGAAGGTCTGCTGTTGGCCAAGTGGTTGTCCTCAGTAGCCTTCTTCCCATCTTAGATTTATATTCGCTGACAGTTGTTTTCTGGACCCTCTTGAGAACCAACTAAGTGCTACTCCTCATGACTGACATTGGGATTTGAGAAAGGACATGGCCCAGTTCAGGCAGGCAAGGCCCACCTAAGGCACGGCATGGAAAATAGACAGGTCTTTCTCCATGAGATGGCACAGTTGATATTGGCATTGTTTGCTGAGGGGTTGCTATGTGCTAGCTTAAAGCAGTGGCATTTGTGCTTCTAGTTTCTTTATAATAATAATAACCCATGTTGTTCCCTGAGGTGTAAGGGCTGTGTTATAGATGTGTCAAATGGGACTAAGCATCCTACTGCGAGTTGTTCTCTGCATTTTGATCAGTTGTGGCATTCTGTAATAGCATCCACCTGCTGCAAAAAGATTTTTGGATATGAGTAAGAGTTACACTTATCTGTGGATATAAAAATAAGTATTTAGAATTTAGTTGGGAATTATATTGGTTTAGAAGAGTGGCAGTATTAGGTTGTCCTGCAGAGTCCATGACCCCACCAGCCATGGGTAGTTGGCTAGGTTTACATTGCCAGGAAGGAATTCCTTCCTATTAAGTGGGACCTAAGTCCAATGAGGTGATTGTTGGTTACCCCTGAGATATAAGTGCCACTATTGCACCCCCGGATATATCTCTCCATGCTGGTCATTGTTGTAGTTTATAGGCTTTATAGCTGAATAAGGCTTTTGTTTTTCTCCCTCAGCAACTTGTATAGCACCTTCAAATACTATGAGTGCTGGTTCTCAGGAATGAGGCTTCCAGGTCAGTTCCAGCTGGATCCTTCCCAGTGTTCTGTGTCTGAAGTATATGGTGTCTTTAGCAATATGTCTTATCTTCAAATTCTGGGAGACAACCAAAGACATTGGCAATAGCTTGTATTGTTTGGGAGTTCTCATGAGCTTCCCTGACTAAGAACTCAAAGGATGTGTTGTCTTGTCTGGCACTGGGGTTTTTGTTAGCTGTCTAACAAAAAGACTGTTGGGGAGAGCATGATCACCACAGGTGATATACCTTCATTTAAATTACTTATAAATGTATTTTTAAATAAACACAACGTGCTCTCCTATGGCTTTTTCTGTTATCCCTAGTGTTCTGTAGCTCTTCTTGTTCCCTCAGCCTTGCTTTCCCCTGCCCAGATAAAGAAGTGGGGTAAATTGTAAGTACCACTGGACCAGGACATCTGCTGCAAGATAGTGTATATTCAAATGACAGGGAACTGAACACATCAAATCTTAGCAATGTTGTCACCTAAACAGGGCATGCGTGGTGGCACTACCAGTTGACATCCTAACATGATGGGAGAATATCACAAGGTCCTCCCCCTAGATGAAGAACTGCAGGCAATTGATGGTTGCTGAGAGAAGAAGAATCAGTCTTTCCAGAGATGAACACCTGATAGGCTATCCAGTCCCAAGTGGCTATCCATAAACACATAGGCATTTGAGCAACACTAAATGAACTTATCAAACTGTATGTATATACATATATAATATATTTTATGTGTGTGTAACAAAATAGTTAAGAAGATACCATGAATTTGAGAGGGAGTGTGTAGCATGAATAATAAAAACCCAGAGACAGATATTGGGGTTCAAGCTGAAGATCAGAAAAGCAAAGCGGCCAGCCTCAGACTCTTACCTCTATCTTAGACCGAAATGAATGATCCTTCCTCCATGAATCCTCAGTCTGAGACTGACCCTGAGAGCTGTCTCCTCCATCTTATATTCCTCTCTAGCTGGTATTAAAGGCATGCACCACCACTGCCTGGCCTGTATGGCTGACTAGTGTGGCTGCTTTGCACTCTGGTCTTCAGGCAAGCTTTATTTATTAAAATAATATGTTATTTATTATATAATATAATAAATAGTGTATCACTATAGGAGTGGGGGGACACATGGGAATACTTGGAAGGGGAGAAGGTGGTGTAGAAAGGATGTACATACAGTATTCATGTATGAAATTCTCAAAAAAAAAAAACTACCCCATTTGATGAGGAAGATACAGTCACTGTCTTCACCTCACTGAGGAGGTGTGGAGGTGCGGAGGCTGAGTGACCTGTGCAGTCATAACAGTTAGAGAATGGAAGAGCTGGAACGCCATCCTGTGCAGTCAGGGGCCAGGACTAGGCAGGTGATGATGATATGAACCCTGAGAGCTGAGCCTCAGGAGCAGAGGGAGATTGTCTGTGACCTGAGGGGTGTGCTGGTGCCCCTCTCTGATGGGAGGTCTTTCCTTAGCTGAGTGTGGTAAGCTCACTTGCACTCTAGTTGGTGAAGAGGGACCTGGTCCAGCTGAGGTCACTGTGGAGTGACAAGGACAGGACTGATGACTGTTAGGTATAGGGTATAAAAGGAAGAGGCAGGTTTCCATACAGTGCATTTTCATGTCTTTGAAAATAAAATTTGTGAGGATATTGTCTACCATTTCCTTGGAAGACTCACTAAAGTTATCAGTGTTGGAAATCATCTTTGTAAGTTATTGCATTTTGATTTTGAGTTATTGTGGAGGCTTATTAAGTGAGCGTACAATTAAATATAAGTTGTGTGTAAAACTCAGCTGTAACTTTTCTAGGAGGTGAAGTCCTGGTACTGTTGTAAAGTGCAATCTATGAGATCCACATAGTAGAAGGAAAAAATTGACTCTTGTAAGTTGTGTTTTGGCCTCTGTATAGAGGCACAGTGGTACATGTGTACCAACACACAAGTGCACACACACACACATACACAAATCAAATATAAAGAAAAAGAACATGGACTTTGGAGACAGCCTGCCTGGGTTTGTGTTTCAGCTGTCACAATTTGGCTGTGCTACTCCGGACAAGCTATTCAATCTGTCTGAGCTTCATATCATCATCTATAAATTTAAAGGAAATGTACCTATCTCCTAGGTGATTAAGGATTAAATAAGTGAATCATACTATATGCTTAGAATATTGAGTGCAGTAAGTGTTACAAAAGTGTTTGCTGTTTTCATTGTTTTTTTTTTTTTCTCTTGACAAGCTAACCCTGAGCCACAAGAAACTGAGTACAGTGTGACAACGAGCTTGAGTCATTGAGCAGACCCCAGGCACCAATGGCATGAAAGCATGTGTAATATGTGGCTCCAGAGCTGGTGGAAGAGCAAGGGAACAGGTGTACACCGCAGCCAAGAGCTCTGAATTCCTTTCATTGTATGACCTGGGACCAGTTGTCTCTTTGGTCTGTCTTAGGTGTGGACTTGGTATTAGAATAACTACCTACCTGTGGTGTTGCTATAACTTAATAGATTGTGTATGCAGTATATTTTCCCCAGAGCTGGTCAAGGGACGGTTGTTGTGATTTTCAGCTAATAAATATGCCCACTTTCTCAAGGAAGTACTCTGAGGGCACCTGGCCTCACTTGGTCTGAGTCACATTCTCGTGGCTTGGTCTTAGAGACTTCAGTTTCTTTGGATGTGTGTGTGTGTGTGTGTGTGTGTGTGTGTGTGTGTGTGTGTGTGTGTGTTGAGGGGGGAGGGAGATGTTGAAATGTTACTTTCCAGTTTCTTTTCAAATTTCATAAAAACCTTGAAAATTAAGTCATACTTTTTACTAGCTTACATGATGATGTCAGAGGCACCTTAAGGGAAACAAATATGACCAAGGATAAGAGAATGAAACTAAAGTCGTGATTCTTGAAGTGTAGTCAGGTGACCTGACCTGATGAGGCATGTCTTCATTACCTGCAGATGTAAGAAATGCAAGTCTGCAGACTTCGTGCCTCCTGCACACTGAAGTAAACTAGAGCCATGTTTTAGCAACTACAGTAATCCCAAGGATGACAGCTGTGCAGTGGGAATGTTGGCTATTGGGAAGAAGGTAGTCATCACTGCAGCTAGCTACACAAAGGGCCAGAAGTACATCCACCAGCATGCGAACTCTATAGCTACTGAGCTATAAAGATGCTGCCTTCAGTTCTCTGTCCACTGGGTTTGAATGAATGGGGGCTCTGGCCGCTTAGCAGGGGTGGGATTTTGTTCATATTCTCTTGTGAACAAAATGGGATAGTCTTGTTCTGTGTGCACTATTTGCTGTTTGTTGAGCAATTAGCTTAACTGTCAGGGAGTAAGGTTGA